GCCCAGGAGCTGGGGGGAGGGGCTTCAGGATCAGGAGGTTGCTATAACAACTGCACCTTGGTGGTTCTCTCCCCCCATGCTCTCTCTCTCTCTCTCTAGTCACATGAAAGCATTACCGTCTGTCTGAAGAGCTCTTCTGTCTTTCCCTCCCTCCCTCTTGTATTTCTCTCCCTCCCTTTATCCTTGTGCTCTCCCACATGGTGACTGTGAAGAGAGCAGGAGAGGGAGTGTGTTTGTGTGAGCTACTGAACACTTTAATAGGCAGTGAAATGGAGAAAAACAAACATCAGCCTCCCCCTGCTACACACACACACACACACACGCGCAGACTTTCTCTCTCTTCCTGTCTCTACCTCTGCTGCGTGTTTTCTTAACCCTGCCATGCTAGTTAAGGCTTGGGGGAGGTTTTCTCACCGTTCTTATCCTATTACGGCGGTTTTGAGCCAAATGCTTCTAGCTAGATAGGGTCTCTGTCTGCGGCTTATAGCGTCGCTAGTTAGGCCATCCGTACCGTACCTCTCGACCCCAAACGTCAGTGAAGATGTCTGCTAGAGAGGGTTGGTGCTCAACATACCTAATTACGCCTCACTTAGCATGCAGAGTCTTTGCAGGAAGATGATCATTATTGATATCAATCATGTGCCACTCTGAGAGGATTCATCACACACGGACCGATAGGGTGCAGGAGTGGAGTGAGAAAATGCTTAGCGAAGTCATCAACAAATTTATAAGGCATTGAGAGGATACATTCTTACAACAGAATGTGTTTGTCAGTACTATTTTTAGTGGTAATTATGGTGAAAGAATTTAGAATGGAGTGACAAAATAACCATAAAATCCACCTATAGTGAATAATAATATAACATCAATAATAAAAATGATTGTATATTATATATGCTTATTTTTTATATTACTATTTTTATGTAGTGGTTTTATTTAAATGGGTGCATGACACAATACAATTTATGATGACAAAAACAACCATAAAAACGTATATATTAGTTGTAATATTAATATTTAATTATAAGACTAATAATGACAATATTATATAAAGAGATTCCTATTTTTATTATATTTAATTTGTATTTATTATATATTTATTTTTATTTGTATGTATTATTATACATTGATTTGCCACTGGTGTCATTTAAAACAAGTGCATGACACCCCACTCTATTGTTAGGCTTTACAAGTGAAGGCGATTGACTTTGGTTACCTGTTCATATAGGCTTCGTAAATATTAGTGTACGAATGCAGCGGTTTTGTGTGAGCCACATTGTTCTCGATTTCTGCCTTGATTTCTTTCTCTCTCTGTCTCTCTCCTCATCACTCACTCTCTCCATGTTAGTGACAGTCATTCTAATCGTCTTTATGGCATGATAAACGGCACGAATATTGACAGCCATCGTGACAACGGTTGCCTTGACAACCCCCTGAGCTGTTGCACACGACAGCGGTGTAACAATGAAAGATCCAACCCCACGCAGACCTATACAGTTATCATGAATACAAGGGTCATATCTGAGCTTGCTACAGTATAGCTTCCAGTACATTCTGCACGACTAATGTCTGTTAAGCATAGCCAGATGGTGTTAAAGTCTTATAGAGGCAGAATGCAACCGAACATGTTTTGTATGTGAGTGCATGTCTTATTTTATCATGCTTATCTCCTTCTTTTACATAAAGCTAGCCAGTAAACATCAACCTTTCTTGTTTCCCATCATGATCTCGCTGTTCTTCTGGTCATGTAGGGAGAGACCGACTGAGAGAAAGAGATAAAAGGAGGGAGGGGGACTAGACGTATTGCCTCAGAGGAGAGCTGGAGAGAAGATCCATGAATCTTGTTGTTTCAGAATCTCATTTCGCATGTTTCGGTGGAGTGTGTGTGTGTGTGATATTTCTAACATGCACACACACCGAAGTCCACTGGGATAAGCGAATAAGGTGGGTGGGATCCTGCTATTGTGTATGGGGAGAATTTGTCGCTAATGTTCAGAGAGAGAGAGAGAGAGAGAGAGAGAGAGAGAGAGAGATTTCTAACATGCGCACACACACACACTGAAGTCCACTGGGATAAGCAAAGAAGGTGGGTGGGATCCTGCTGTTGTGTATGGGGAGAATTTGTCGCTAATGTTCTTGCAGTTCATCTACATCTCTGGGTTTACGCACACATTTCACTTCTGTAATTAACACACCGTTAAATGTGTTCACTGTGAGAGTCATTAGCACAAGCAGGAAGATTAGGAGAGATGATGGGAAATGCTTTTCACCTTCTTTTCTATCCTCACCTCTGAGGAGGTGTCTATCACTCTTTCCCCGTCAATATTTGCCGCTGTTCATTCTCCATCGCACTGCCCTGCAGTAGTGAGAGGGAAGGGACCGTCTGCAAAGTGGCACAACTGAATGTTAAAATAAACATTTGTGGACTAACTGGAGGAATACTTAAACTCTCATAACGACTGATTGCAGTTCCCTCCTTATTTGTGGTTTATTGTGCCAATATGTAATGCTATTTAAGGCAATAGTGACATTTTTAAGGTTTGTCTGCCATCCCTAACCTCTGTTGGCATGTACATGTGTGTTACTGTCTAGCATGCTTGTGTTGAGCGGCTTAGATACAGCTTAATGGCTGAGACAAATTAAGCAGAAGAGCATTGTGGGATAAAAGTGTGCCTATGTGTCAACTGTGAAACTCAGTTTATTTTGCAACCGATTCTCTCTCTCTCTCTTCTCTCTATGTAATTGTGAAGTGATAGTTGATGCTTGTCACCTTTTCCCTCCTATCAGTAATTCTCTGTGCAGTAAGAATTTATATTTTTGTCTATATGTGCAGTGTTAGTAAAACAGTGATGTGCAAAACTACATATTACAAAATGTACGAGCCAATGGGTTGAATGGCTAGCTCACTAGTCAGTTTTAAGGAAGCCTTGCAAAATTAAGCTGGTTAAGAGTTCATGAGAACCTGATCTGACAGTCAGATGGAAAGTGTTTTTGTGTTTAAAAAATATCCAGTTTTTAAAAATAGAATTTTTACCAAGCTGCTGGATGAGCACACTAAAACTACCTTTGAGAAGTTAGTCTAATTCCTCCATGAACAGCATTGCTAAAAGTGTAGAAATTACAACCTGTTTGACATCACTGATTGGTTCTAACTCATTGGCAATCGTTAACACCTTCCTATTGTAAAATTTATAAGACTGAGTTTGATCTGCATATAGCTATTAAGTCTTTACATAGTGGCAAATTGAAGGACCTTCTTGTCTTCTTTTTTTAAATTAGCCTATTGCCTCATGAGGTCTCTGTTTAAACTCAAACACCTGCACAAATAATGGTAAACCAACACTGGAATTAAGTGTGGGCAGTTTGCGTTGATCAAAATACCTGCCCTCATTTGACGTCAAGAGAACACCTCAGTGAAAGATCCTCTGTACACTAAGATAAACAAAAAGAACAAGGCACTTTAAGTAAATATCATGAGAATATTGAATATATATATACACATATATAATTATTATTATTTTTTTTAAATTTTATTATTATTTTTTTTTTTTTACATGTACACATAACCACAATGACATTGATCATTGGCACAAAAGTTTTGCTATTGTGAAGTGTTTTGATAGAGAGAATATATTACCTATGTAAATTTTGGCATTCTGGACTAGAAACCACTCTGACGTGCTTCTGCTCTGAAATGTAAATAATTATTTGAATAATACCATGTCTGACTATTTATTAGGGCTGTGACGGGGGCAGATTTTTACCGGTGGCGCAGTGTTGATATAAATATATATATGCACTCAAAATATTCCTTGGGTCTTTCTGAAAACACTGATACTAATTTTGCCATATTTGCCCGAACGTCCTGGGAAAATGGCTTCAATTACTCATTGCTACAGTTGGTCTGATGCTTGCAGCCTTGCTTGCTAGGGTTGGCCACCCCACTCACAACTGCTGCTTCGGTCACGTTTTCTCTTGACAAGAAGTGCATTTATTCAGTTGCAGAACGACTGAGAACTGGAGCTGTTTCAGACGCGCACTCCACTTCACCTCAGCGCCAGGGCAGGCGCGAGTCAAACGAGTGCGGAAACAGTACTGTGCTCGCAGCGCGTGCTCTTCAATTGCACGCACTTCACTTCAGCGCCAGGCGCGAGTCAAGCGAGCACGGAAACGGTACTGTGCTCTCAGCACGTGATCTTCAATTGCACGCACAAAGGCGCCGGCGCGCGCTGTAGCCTGCATCCTTTCATATCAAAGCACGAAATAAACTACGTGCATGCAATGTCATGGTCAGTTAAGTCATGAAGTTACCAGAAAGGCCTTAAAACTGTGCATGCATGTAATATATTTTATGTGAGTCACATTTAAGAACATGTCTCTGAAATGGTTTTCAAAACTGTCCTGAGCAGCCATCTCACTCATCTAACACACCCGATTTAACTCGTCAGCTTGTGTTTATTTTAGCACTTCAGTCAGTGAATACGCAGCCTGCAAAACACTAAAATAAATATCAAAGAAATAATACAGTTAAACAAGAAAGTAGCCTAAATAAGAAAGTTAAATACACCCTGTCTACAGGATGCGGCGTGACAAAATACTGTAAAACTCATTATAATCAGTGATGCTACACTGGATGCGGCACGACACGACATGACAATACCCCAACAGTAAGCTGCCTCGTTCTATTTATGAGGTAATGACACAGAGTTCAAATGTCCCGTGTAGACATTATTACACTTGTATACAAAACTTTGTATTATGCTTGTTATAGAGAGTTATAGAGACGTCACGTGCACTACCGCCGGTGGCAGTAGACAACCGTGACGCGGTTGTCACAGCGACCGTCACAGCCCTACTGTTTATACACTGAGAAACCGCTTCACTGGGTAACATTGTGAATGTAGGACAACAATGTTCTGAAAGTGTGTTGTTGTTTATATGTTTTTATATGGAGCTAAGAGACCCTTCTAACCATTGTTCTCTCTTTTAATTTCTCTCAGCTCCAGGAGACAGTAAAGAGGAAATTGGACAGTGCCCGGTCTCCTTTAAATGGTGACCAAAATGGTCTCAGTGATGGGAGTTACTCTCCCACTACAAAGAGACTCCGTAAGGAAGGATGCACTGGAATTGACTCTATTGGTAGCCTCCCACCCATTTCCCCACTTCATACGATGGACATCAAACCCACCTTGCCCTCGGGCAACAACAGTGCCTCCTCAAACAACGGAACCGGCAACGGCAATGCTGGTACAAACCATATTACTGGACGACCTGAGGATTTAGGCAAAAATGGTGGAATGCCTGATATTAAACTGAATGGTTCATTGGAGTTGGAAGATGGCTTTAGCCTACTAAAGGACATGAAACAAGAGCCTTTGGACGATGGTGGTGGAATCGATTCCTCGGAAACGTCACTTTCAAATCAGAACAAGCTATTCTCTGACATCAATCTGAATGACCAGGAATGGCAGGAACTTATTGATGAGCTGGCGAACACGGTGCCTGAGGATGACATGCACGACCTCTTCAACGAGGACTTTGAGGAGAAAAAGGAGGTGAGTGACTTCACACGGGCCACAACGGAACAAATGCAGCTTGCACAAGACCCAGCACCTAACTCTGTAGCCACGGCACCCAACAGTACACCGCAACCGCAGAGTGGACAGATGCCCATGGGGTCACCTCAGGTGAGACCATCTTCCTCTGGTCCCCCATTTGCAACGGCTGCCAATGGGACACCGCCCCAGCAACCCTTGCAGCAGTCACCAGCAGTTGGAATGCCATCAGGATCGCCCGCTAACTGCGTGGCTCGTTCTCCGCAAACGCCCACCCAAGCGCAGACCCAGGCCTCAAGGCCCGGGAATGGATATATGATGAATGCAGGTCCTGCTGTTGGCCCCGTGGCATCGACTCCAGTAACAGGAGGTGGTCCTGGATCAGGGGGAACAGGTGGAGGTGTACCAGTCCCACCCTCCTCTGAACTTTCACCGGCTGAGCAGCTGAAGCAAATGGCTGCCCAGCAGCAGCAACGTGCCAAACTTATCCAACAAAAACACCAACAGCAGTCCCAGGGAGCAAACTGGTCACCTGCAGGAGCACCAACAAGCCCATACAGTGGACCCTTTAACCCAGACAAACCAAATAGCCCCATGATGTATACACAGGCTTTTAATGCTAGCAACACAATGGGGCCAAAAACACCAAGCATGAACAACTACCTCCCACAGAACCACATGAACATGCTCAACCAGCAACAGCAGCAGCAGCAACCTAATAACTTGGTTGCCCAAAACAACCTCAATAAGCAGCTCTCTTATAGCAACACCAAGCCACTGACTCATTTCAGTGGAGTAGACCACATGAGTCAGCGGATAACACCGCCCATGGCCAATCAAGCCAAAAACCAGATGATGCCCTACTTGCAGGGCACCGCAGGGCAAGGGGGTGGGCCACCACAAGCTCCAGGTCCAATGCCCAACCAGTCAGCCCATTTAAGTGAAGAACAGAAGAGGATGATGATGATGAATAAAAAAATGCTGAGTCAAGGCATGCCATATGGCTCAATACAGCAGCATGTACAGGTAAGATCCTTGATTTTTATTCATGCTATGTTATGGAGAGCTAAATATCAATATTTGAATGGAATATTTCATGCACCAGGGTAGCAGTTGTAAATTGGATGTTTATAAGCTAATCTTTGAGATTTTTGTGTTCAGATGGATGTTGTTACAGTGAGGTGTCCGCTTTAGAGTTGAGTCAACAATTATTGGTATACTATATCTTGTTAGTAGGGATGCACCGAATATTCGGCAACCGAAATTATTCGGCCGAATAAGCGAGAAGGCCGAATAATATGTACCAAACAATGTCGAACGCGATTAAATAGAGGCATGCGCTAATGCAGCAAACATCGGCAGTGTGAAAGTATTTAAAACTATCAGAGAAAGACGCAGAAATCATTACAAGCACGAAGCACCGACAGCGAGAGACTGTTTAGTGCTGCATCGCATGTCTCTGATGAGAAGATGAGGTGGCTAATGCTGGTGGTTACTGTATGATGATTGAAATCGCGAAATTACCTCAAACGATTAGTAAATAAACTGCAGAATGTTATATTTTCTAATGCACGCACGAATTGCATGTATTCTGACGGCGCTGCACGAGCTCGCGGCGCCAGGGTTCAAAGTCCAAAGCGCGAGGAAAATCTGTGCTGAACTTGTTACTCATCAGTTGCTCAGAAACATTTTTGTGAATTTTTTTTAAAGGCATGTGCCAATGTGATACGTGCGACAAACATCTTCCCAAATTTGTAATGAGAATAAT